GGTGTGAGTACTCTTATTTCTTGAACATTTGGGTCCCTGTGTGGTGTGTTTCAAATGCACTTCATAACTAATACTTTTGCAAAATATCTGGAGTCATTTGATTTTTACATCATCATCCAGGTTCATCTGCTCTTTATGCCTGAGAAGTACACCATGTTAAGGCAGGAGAAAGAGCAAGAGGGCCGTAGGCTGCGGGTACTAATCATTTTCTTGAATTTATTCTTCATCAGCTTTGTATGGATTATCACCATTTAATTGCACCTGGATTCTACACATTTAGAGGCATTGTTGAGCATTGTTTAGTGTTTTTTTTCTTTACTACAGGGCCAGTAGAAACTTCAGAGACAGCTAATAGCAGAGCAAGAAGTGCTCTATGGGTCAAAAACAAGCCCTTAAAGGCCCTTAGTGTAAAAGAAGACCACAGTGAGACTGTACAGAGAACGCTTCCAAATAAGGATCTATCACGTGGTACCACGAAGGCAGCTACTCTACTTTAGTGGATGAAGAGAACAGAACAGCCTAGGCAATGCCAATTACCGTGCCCTCAACACCTTCTACGGTGTCAATTCCAATGCAGACAGCTATTACCCCAGCTCCTCTAAATGCCTTGGCAATGAATCCAGTTGAAGCGATTAATTCCTGAAGAGACTGAATATTCATTAGAAGAAAAAAAAAAGGCTTGCTTCTATGCTTTCTAATACACAAATAAATTCAACTATACAAGTTTGATGTTTCAGAAACCTCAGGTGAATTAACTTGAACCCACCATATCAATTTACCAATGATGATTCTTTTCACTTTTTTCGAATTTGTCATGGAACAAGACAATTTGGTTTTCTCCTGCGTATGTATATGGTAGAGGAGGGTGAACATGAACTCAAAATATGAAACAGTTTTCCTTAGTAACGTAAGCCTTACTTTCTGCCATGATTTATAACATGAAAATTCTGCCAGCAGTAACAGGTTTTCATAGAATTTCAGCAGTAGGAACTAAAATGGTTTTTTTTTTTTTGAGGTAAAGATAGTGAGCTTCCATCCACATCACAATGTGTGGAAATGTCATTTGGTGTTTTTAGCCAAAACAATAGCTGGATCATGACATGTCAGAAGTTTCTTTTTGCTAGTGATCTTCTCTATGATATTGCAGTTTTTCAGTTTAGATTGACTGAAAAATACTAAGTTTAGACTGTCATTTTGGTTTTTTTTAGTTTGAACTGACATTTTTTTAGTTAATGCAAACTGAAAGTAACATTTCCCCCTTTCCCATTGTATTTTTTTCTTTGGAGGTTGAGTTAGATTTAGGGCTAGTGGGAAAAAAAAGCACAAGGCAGCAAAAATAGAATTGCTTCTGGCTTCTGGCTTCTGCTTTTTCCCTTTTTCTTTCTCTTTTTTTTTTTTGGGTTAAAAAAATTTGAAGTTGGGTTAACAGGGGCATTAGCAGTAGATTCCAGAATTTAAAAGGGTATTTAGCTTATATTTTGTAATAGTCAACTTTAGCTTAACTAAAAAGACAAAGAAGATGTCAGTGGTTGGAAAAATGGGCATGGCTCCAACCCTTGCTTTACAGCTTTAAAATCCATTTTTTTAACCTTTAAAATAATTTTAATCCCATTTTTAAATACCAAACCCTTTTTCTTTTCCCAAATTTCCATTATTTTTTTCCCCAAGTTTTATGATATTTTTTTATCTCTCCCTATTAATTAAATGACCTTTATTAAATTTCCAAGACGGACGTGAACCATTTTCTTAAGCCAAATTCATACTTTGTTTTTTGCAATTAAAATATTAATTGTTAATTAAATTCACATATTAAATACATATTATTTTTTCCATTTTTTAAATTTTCTCAATTTTTTTTTACTTTATTTATTTCTCCTCTTTTTCCTGCAAAACCCTAAATTCATTCCCCTGCAAGAAATTTTTGCATTAATCATAAAGTTTGCATTTTTCTTCTCTGTAATTTTTTGTGTCTCTTGATAATTTTTACTGTAATTTTCTGTGAACTTTCAAGTTCTGTGCATTCCCTGCAATGGTGGAGATTAAGCCATAGAATTGTGTTAGTTTCCTCAAAGCAAACTCAGTTTCTTGCTCTTAGAACTGGGTTTGTTTTTGATCTATGAAATTCATCAAAGTTCTCTCCTATTTTAAGGTGTTTTCAAACTTGAACTCTGTTCTTTTATTTTAATTCTATTTTTTTTCCCCATATTCTTCTTGCGTTGTTCAAGAGCTCATTTTCCAATTTTGTTTGGGGAAATTTGTGAAATGAGCTCTTGCTGCTGTTCTAGCAATTTAGCTTAGAGAAAGTTTGAATCTTTAGGGTGTGGGTTAGTAAGATTCTCAGAGTTTTGGTTAGTTAGGGTTTTCAGATTTCTGGGTTTTTTATTTCTTGATCTAACATATATAAATGGAGGTGAAAGACGGACTAACCCCACCTGTGGCACTAAGGGGAGGTGAAGCTCCAGGGAGCTATCATGTGGCCCCCAGAACTGAAAACTCCACCCTGTTCACGGGTCCCACAATGCAATCTGCTGTTGCAGCTCCGGCGATCGAAGCTACACCTCTAACCACTGTAGCTAGTGTAGCCGCGCCTCCCGTCAGTGCAGGGATGTCTGGGCCACGTACCGGCTCTGAAGTGAAGAAAAAGAGAGGCAGACCTAGAAAGTATGGTCAAGATGGTGCTGTGAACTGGGTGACAATGGCATTGTCTCCAATGCCCATATCCTCATCAATTCCCCTGACCGGAGAATACTCCGCTTGGAAACAAGGTAGAGGGAAGCCGGCAGACACAATTAAGAAATCGAATAAATTTGAGTTTGAGAGTTCAGGTGATGTCATAAATCCCTTATTGTCCTTTAGTTCTGTCAGATATTTGGGACGGTTGCTGTTGGTTTTGTTTTACTGTTACATTGGATATCATTTTCTGTCATATATAGGTCTGACTTTTTTAGCAAGGTGCATATTAATTGGTTTGTTGTAGCGTGGTGATTGTGTGAAATGCTAAAGATACCGATATGGTTTGTGGAGGAATATTAGATGATGTTTACAGGGTGTGGGGGGGTTTGAAGTGGGGTGGGACCATTTTCTCTGATTCTTGACCATATCTGGAATTAATGGTAATTAAGAGATAAGGATTTTTGATGATGATGGTTATGTAAGATGAGGGAATCTCTATTCTTTCCAAACTCCAGGGTACTGTTCTGCTGTCTGTCCAAAAAGTGTCAAGTTTGAGAATATTGTTCAGTACTTTAGGTTGAACATACAAATTTGCTGATGTAAATATGCTTGTACCTGACAATTTTTTATAACAAGCTGGCTGATGTAGGGGTTAATGGTGGAAAATAATATTTGAATGGCATGACCCATTCAAATGAGAATTTAAAGGAAAAATTGAATTGGGAATTGGATTTCATACGTAGGCATGTATGAAGAAAACTTATGGCATAATGGTAGGAGGAATTCAACTGCAAGCATCAATTCCTTTACAGCACTGACAATTGTAAAGTTCTTGTTTTCTTCTGAATTACATATTTGTTATTAGATATTTCTCTTAAGCTCTATTGCTGTATCTAGGCATAAGAAATATCATTTGAATGCTTTTGCAAATTACTAGTTAACCATTCATGAGGATAATTGCTCTGTCTCATCTCTTGATGCACTTAGGGACGCTGTGAAATTATCAATTTCTCATCATTATTCTTCTTGTATTGATCTTTTACTAGCATTTTGTTTTGTAGAGTTATCAGTATGCTTGAAAACTAATTCATTTTGTTGTATTTTTTTGAATTGTTTTCTAGGTGATAGACTTGCATATTTTGTTGGTGCGAATTTCACACCTCATGTGATCACTGTTAATGCTGGTGAGGTAAGCTCTGTGGATAAATCCTGGTGCAATGAAAAAAGTGCAATTGGTGATATTTTCATCTCACATTTCTCTGTTTGTCTAAGAAGAAGATTGGGAACTTATGAAAATAAACCTCCTGAGAACTAACTATGACAGAACACCTCAACCCTCCAAACACGGATAAGAAAATCCGACGTGTTTTCTGTAATGGTCCCTTTTTATTGTAATATATATTCTTTAAAAGGGTCAATGTGGAGGATGTGTAAAATGAATGCCTATGTGTAGTAAAACATGTATTTTGTATAAAAACCCACTTGCAAATACAGTATTCATTGTAGGTTACTTGGTTTGCATTGTTGTACAGCTTACTGTTCCATGTGAAAGAACACTTTAAAGAGTCACAGAAGAAACACATAAATTGATGGAAACTTTTCTATTTTATCATGTATTATGTGTTTTTTCTGTATCTCTTATTTTCATTGTGCTTGCTATAGGATGTTAATATGAAGATAATGTCATTTTCTCAACAAGGATCTTGTGCTATATGTATCCTATCCGCAAATGGTACAATTTCAAATGTGACTCTTCGACAGCCTACTTCTTCTGGAGGAACTCTGACTTATGAGGTATTACAAGTCATCCTTTCCTTCCCTAATGCAGTGAGTTGTGTTCAGTTTAATGAACTTGTTAATTTGCTTTAATTCTATTATTGGACAATATTCTTTCAGCTTTTACTGAAAAGACAAAAGCTATGCTTTATTTACTTCTTGAACTTCAATTGGTGCTCTTTTCCTAAGAGGTGTGGTTTGTTGAAAAATGAAAATTGCACTATGGAGTACATGCACCCTGGATTGATCAATGATGTTATGTATTAATAACACCCTCATTAGACATCATAAATTAATCAATCATGCCATGTAGATTCTCCTTAGCATTGCTTCTGCCTTCGCTAGTGCTTGTACTGGTTTAGATGAGATGGCCTGATGTTTGGATGTTCTGCATTTCGTGGTAGAAATTAGTAAGTCCTCATAGTTACTAGGTACAACAGATCTTCAAAGTTATAGTAAACTTCACTTTGTATCTGAACTTTTCTCAATCCTGATCCAATACAATCCCTTCAAGCTCTATGTTGTTGCTTGTTGAGAAATTATTAATGGTTTGTTTGGGATCACTCTATCCCTGATTTCTGTTTTGGTTTTCTGGAAAACAGAAAACAAGAAAGCAAACTCATTTGGTTAGAGTTAGGTGAAATCCTACAATAGGACACCATGATTTTTGGAAACCAAAAATCTGGTTTTGGTTTCAGATTTTGTTTTCCAAATTTTTGGAAATGATAACAGATTGGTACCTAAGATTCTATCATTGCTTTTTGCAGGGTCGTTTTGAGATACTTTCTTTGTGTGGATCGTTTATGCCTACTGAGAATGGAGGAACAAAGAGTAGATCGGGTGGGATGAGTGTTTCTTTGGCTGGCCCAGATGGTCGTGTTCTGGGTGGAGGACTTGCTGGACTATTGATAGCTGCTGGACCAGTACAGGTAAAAACCATATTGTTAGAAGATAGAAGAAATGAGAAGAAGATTAAGCATTTATATGAATAGAATGTATCTACCTTGCAACTAAATAGCAGCATATATGGTGTGTCCATTTCTGATACCATTTTTCCAAAATGTTCTTCGGTGAATCAGGTTGTTGTGGGAAGTTTCCTACTGGGTCACCAGCAGGAACAGAAGCACAAGAAGCAGCGAACTGAGTCCATGCCAGTTGTCACCCCTGCAATTGTCAATACTGTCTCTGCAGAAGAATTGAAGACATCTCATGGTGGAGTAAAGCCAGCTCTCACCTCTACTTTATCCTTCCATGGGGACAGTTCAGCTTCTTTAAACCCTACTCAGGGAATCAGGAACTCAGCCACTGATGCAAATTCATCTTCACCCGATGAGGATTCTAGGGACCATAGCCTCTCACACTGCGAGCTTTCCAGTTGATCAGCTATGCACACTAGACACCGAACTATATTTATCATCTGCTACAGACACAACATGATTTAGGCTTACCAGACCTTGTCTGGAACCAATATAAACTCGTTGGCTGTTGAGGAAGTAGGTTTTTAGCTTTGTGTCGGTTCTTAACCTGATAATTTTACTGTCTGATAGCTCTAGGTAGGAGGTCTGATTATTAGTTCTCATTTTTGGGTTTTTGTGGTCATGTATTCAACTGAGTTGTCTGACATGTTGTTGTACCATTTTATGCATGGTTCCTGGTGCGTTATTCTTCTGATTAAGTGCATTTTTTCCTAAATGATTGAATTTTAATTGAATGTTATTTGACTGGTTCTGTTGTTTTTTATCTGGGACACGAGAAAAGTTAGACATGGTTAATTGATGAGGTTCAAAATTTTCGATTGCATGTTCTTAGATTTGAGTCTTGCTACCAATAACACCTTGTGGATAGGCAGCGTGCATGACCTTGAACTGGGTAATCTCTCTTCATCCTATACTTTTTTGTAGTTGAACTAAAGAAAGAGTATCAAAGAGGAAATATTCCTGAAATGTCATGCCAAAGGACAAATTAACAAATTAACAAAATGTCAAAGCCACCAATGAATTTTAGAGGTCAATTTTTTTCTTTTTTTTCTTTTTTTTGGTATGTGAAATGATGAGTTATATAATATGAGATAATTTTTTTTTTCTCAAAATTCTTTTTAACTATTTTAGGATTTAAATGTATGATTTTTAATATAAAAATTTAAATTTTTAACTACTAAGTCTTTTTTGGGAGGATGAATTTTAGAAGTTAATTATTACATAAAAAAGAGAACAAGAATCCCAATTGGCAATTGGTCAGCACACCTTGTAGCAAAAGAGAATATGCCTTTTGCTTACAAAAGTTTTTTACAGACAAATAGAGAGCAAATATTATCTTCAAGCATGCACTGAGCTCCACATCCCACTTTTTCCCTT